TGCGAAATGCAATTCCTTTTCACAGTCTGCCTGAATGAAATCGCTGAAATCTGAACTGGCACCTGTGGCGTTAGGTACTACCTTTTTACTCACTCAAAATGTACAATATGAAATGCGCTACGTAATACAATGAACATCGTGTGTGTAGATAAAGTGCTGTCAAGTTGACTTATGGCAACCCCAGCAAGAGGCTTCCAAGGCAAGGGAGAAGCATTAGTGGTTTGCCATTTCCTTCCTCCGCAGAGGCTTCCTTGGTAGTCTCTCTTCCAAGTACCGACCCTGCTTAGCTTCCGAGATCTGACAAGATTGGGCTATATCTTCCCTTCCCATAAACACCGTTAGCTAATGATGATTTCCATTACAGATATAAAGGATTGTAAAACGATTGAAAAATATGGAAGATAAAACTACGCCCCCTTTTCCCCCAAGGGCTTTTAAAATAATTTCTCTACTGGAAAAATTGGGAAACCTGGAGAGCACTGGCAAGGAGTAAACAAATTTTTGCTGTGGGTGAAATGCTTTTCAAGACAGGTTTTACTCACTCAAAATGTACAGCGTGAAATTTTTATGTGAAATCTACAGCATTAGAGCACGATAATTCATACATAAGCTGTAAACAGATGCAGAATATTTCCAAGGATATGTTTACAGCTAATATAAGAATAATTATGCTACGCGTTTGACAATACATTATTAAAGAATTCAGTGTCACAAAGTTTAACGGGATAGTCAAATATGAGCGAGTCTTACTGGGATTAGATCCAGGTGGGCAGCTGTGGGGGTCTGAAGCAGTAGAACGGATATCTGAAGGAAGCATGCCTGGACATGAAAGCTCATACCTTGAATAAACCTTTGTTGGTCTGTAAGGTGCCACTGGAAGATAACTGGAAGAGCCACTTTGGTGTAGTGGTTAAGTGTGCGGACTCTAGTCTGGGAGAACCGGGTTTGATCCCCCACTCCTCCACTTGCGCCTGGCTGGATGGCCTTGGGCAAGCCATAGTTCTGATAAGAGCTGTCCTTGAAAAAGAGCAGTTGCTGTCAAGAGTTCTCTCCGCCCCACCTACCTCACAGGGAGTCTGTTGTGGGGAGGGGAAGGGAAAGGAGTTTTAAGAGCTGTTCTTGAAAAAAGAGCAGTTGCTGTCAAGAGTTCTCTCCGCCCCACCTACCTCACAGGGAGTCTGTTGTGGGGAGGGGAAGGGAAAGGAGTTTTAAGAGCTGTTCTTGAAAAAAGAGCAGTTTCTGTCAAGAGTTCTCTCCGCCCCACCTACCTCACAGGGTGTCTGTTGTGGGGAGGGGAAGGGAAAGGAGTTTTAAGAGCTGTTCTTGAAAAAAGAGCAGTTTCTGTCAAGAGTTCTCTCCGCCCCACCTACCTCACAGGGTGTCTGTTGTGGGGAGGGGAAGGGAAAGGAGTTTGTAAGCCCCTCTGAGACTCCTTTGGCTAGTGAAGGGCGGGGTATAAATCCAATCTATTATCATCATCATCATTATCATTATTATTATTATTGGGATTGTATGAGACTGGGTCTGTCCCTACTATACACTTCACTTCAAAATTTGGTTTTCCAATTTAACGTTAATTTTTTTCCCGTTTGAGAGGTGGGAAAAACTAAAGTCATATGCGCTAAGGTAGCACTGTCTGTGGCAGTTTGCCGCGCTCCCTCAAGTAGTGACTATATTTGTAATTTTACATTTAGACTTTAAAATATTTTACACTTTTAAATTCCATAAATATGTCTAATAATAATAATAATAATAACAACAGTAGTATGCCAACTAAATGATAAATGATTCATTCTGTGTTGCTAAATCAATAACGTGGGTTTGGGTTTGATAAGAATGTAAGCACTGCATTTCAATTTTTCACAAAACGTCTGCTAACCCCCCCCCCAAAAAAAAAACCCGCGGCGAAGGCAATTGGGGGGGGGGGGGGGGGGGGGGACATGAGCAGAGGTTTCTGGAAACGTACATCTCTAGTTTCATCTCTGGTTGGCCCGCAATAGAAAAGGAAGACTTGAGTCCAGTCGCACCTTAAAGATCAAGATTTCCAGGGTATAAACTGTCAAGAGTCAACGCTTCTTTCATCAGATACAAGTCCTTGTACCTGATGAAAGGCGCTTTGACTCTCTTTACATCTCCAGACATCAGTAAAAAACAGAGATTGTAGTTGAATGGGGAGAGAGCGCATGAAGAGAGTCGGACAAGTTCTGCTTTCATGAATAGAAAACGGGAGAAGGGACTGCAGAAGAGGGAGAGAACTTCCCCTCCTAAGAGACCGTGAGCAACACAACACAGGAAGGGGGCTGTGGGGGGTCCAGTACCTTATGAGGGCTTTTCCTTGCGCAGTCAAATTCTTCTTGTCAACGAGTCAAAGGGGCAAGACACCAAAAGAGAAATAATTGCCGTTGCTATTGCAGTGGGGAGGGAGATCTGCAACGGAATAAAACTGAACTGATATATTCGCAAATGAACTAAAGGACGGCGCCTAGAAGACCGAAGTGGCCGATACGGTAAAGGGAGGGGCAGAGCCTTCTGGTGCCTGATGAAGACTCTCATTGGAAGGTAGGTTGAAGGAGGCACCTGGCTGTGTCTACTGGCCGGGGGGGGGGTGAAGCTTGGTGGACACGGGAGCGGAGCTAATAATAGCCTGTCCCTTTCATCTTGACCTCTCCGCTGAAAACCTGAGAAAGAGGTTAAAGCCCTGGAAATTGGGCTTAAATCCTGAAACCTGGCAACCTGAAGAGAAAAACATACTTTGATATGGATACCGCGAGCTCCGCTGGCAATCCAAGGACCTTGTATCACGTGACTTGGCCCTTAGATTTAGGGAAAG